TGTTATTAATTTTAATATTGTTATTATTTCATTATTATTATTTCTTATTGTAAATATTATTATTATAACCGATAGCTTATTAATATGGGTAAATGAGATATACTGCTTTTTGTGTATTAAATACTTGGGTAGACACTCGCTTTGTCGACCTTTAATAAGTAAATAAATAATTACAATATTTATAAAACAAACTATGCTAATTGTAATCAAAGGTTTATCTGAACTCTTAATTTCATCTAACAAAATTGAAAAGGTTTTTTATAATTTAGATTTGTAAGCTGCTCAAAGTTAAAAATAAAAAACAAATAAAAAATAAATAAAAAATTAAAAAATGTATATATTAAAAGGTCTTTAGATGCTGTTGCCCAAACTTCAGATATATTATCAATGGATATTGGAATCGAGCAAGCTGTCAAATAAGTGCAATCGATTAATAATCGATTAACTGATGACGGCATTCGATATTCAATACGATCAATTGAATTATTCACTTGATTTTTAGCTAACTGCATCGGCAATTAAAACAATTCTAAGGAATTTCCATTCTGTGAGGCCGACGAGACCCTGACCAAATATATATATATATATATATTATATATATATGTATGTGTGTGTGTGTGTGTGTGTGTGTATGACATATGCTCATGTGTCTGCTGATAAATGGGAACAGATTTTGTGGCTAAGAAATCGCTTAAAGTGGTTTAATTAAATTTGATTTGATTTTTGTTCGTTTTTGGCTGCAGCTCCAGCAAAAGGCGACACCCCATCTGCAGAGCATACAAATATATATATATGCATGACATATGTATATAGTGCATATATACACACAATCACACATAGTGCACTTAAAGCTGAGATGTCCAGATACACAAATCGAGATAAATGTATATGCATAGATACATATGTAAATGTATATATAGCTGGCACCCAGGGCCCATTCTCGACCACAATGTATGTGCGTGTGTGTGTGTGTGTGTGGGTGCTCGGGTGCGGGTGGGTTGGGGGTTGGATTGGAGATTGGGCAACGGCTGAATTTTGTGCTTGTGCTCGTAATTAATTATTTCATTAGTGCACACTTGATTCGAACCGAGCCCCGACCCCGCCCGCCCCTCTCCTTGCCCAACAACGGTCACTAGCATCGTTTGGCCATTGGGCAGCGGCTGCAACGGCCAGCATGATCTGTGCATGCGCTACAGTTCAAAGATTATGTTCTGTTCTATGTGAATTTTAAATAAACTATAATAATTTTATAATAGTCAAATTGTGCTGTTTAGCTGTCCCTAATTGCGTATACCTAATATATTATATTATCATCAATATCAATAGTCAAAATTCCATATATATATATATATATATATATATATATATATATATATATATATATATATGTATATACGCACCCTTGAAAAATTGTATTTAATTATTAAAATTATTTCGCTAATAATTCAAATAAATTATAAATATCAATATGGTTTAACATAATTCTCAAAGTCATTTATGCAGCATATTAGCCCACTGAAATGTGTAGGGTGCACGCGTAGCGCAGAGAGTCGCAGGCAGACATCAAAGAGTTCTGTACGCTCTTAAGAGCGAACGTGGGAACGTGGCGTATGGCTGACGTTGATTTCAATTTTGAACTGCTTGCTCGTCGTTGGCTCTCTGCACACCAATACCAATGTGTTTCTTACTGTGCGCTAGTGTGTGCATGCTGCTCATGGGCTGGGCATGAGCGAGAGTGAGGGAGCACGCAATACAACACGCACAGAAGCGAATGGACACTTGCGGCGCCAGTACATGTATTTGTGTGCCTGTCTTTTTGTGTGTGTGTGTGTGTGTGTGTGTGCGTACATGTAAGGGTGTGTGCTTGTGTGCGGGCTGGCCGCCACCAGTGGCCGTTCAGCTAATGCATGAGACGGCGTGTGTGAGAGCATCTTTGCTTGTGTGCGTATTTATTTGACGCTTATGCTGTCTTTACTCGCCGCTAGGTGGGTCTCGGTCTCCGAGTCCAAGCACGAGCGCCAAACACTGTCCAGGCCCAGCAACGACGACGTCGACAGCAACAGCAGCGCCAGCGTCAGCAGCAGCAGCAGCAGCAGCAACCGCGACGGCGACGTACGCTGGATGTGATTTCAAATAGTAAAGTCGAGTTGCCGCTGCCGCATCGCCATCGCAATCGCATCGCAATCGTAATCGCCGTCGCCGTCGTCGTCGTCGTCTCTCTTGTGAACTGCTTACCGATATTTTAGCTTGTCGCCGTCCTCGTCGTCGTCGCGGCCGCCGCTGTTGCTGTAGCTGTAGCTGTAGCTGTAGCTGTGGTGGCTGTGGCTGCACTGTCGCCCCCACCGGCTCTGGCTGCGCTGCTGCCACTGCCACTGCCACTGCCACCGTCGCTGTCGTTGGCGTTGTCGTTGTCGCTGCTGTCGCTTCTCGTTGTCGTTTTGTGTATGTTCTTCTTCTGTACGTTGTGTTCTGTTCTGTTGCGTTGTGTTGTGTTGTGTTGCGTTCTGTTTCTGTTTCTGTTTTGTTGTTGTTGCTGTTGCGCGCGCGCGTCTTGCTTTGCCGTCGCTAAAACGGCAAAACGCAGAACAACTGAAAATTAATAAAAAAAAAAAAAAAAAAAAAAGAAGAAAACAGCAGAAAAAAATAACGTAAAAAACATTTCATGTCGAGTTCGTTTTTGAATTTATAATTTCTTTAATTTAATTATTAATTTTAATTTTTTTTTTGCTGTGAACAAAAATTAAGCAACAATTTACAGTTTTAGTTGAAAAGCTTTTGCAACAATTTTTTTTATTGTGTTTGTTTTTGTTTTTGCTGTGCAACAAATAGAAAGAAAAAAAAGAAGAGAAAAACCATGTGATAAATGCGAAATGCAAATGCATAAAATGTGCTGCAAGTGAAACTTGGACATAGCATAAAAACTGCCCCTAACTCTCTTATGTACAAACACACACCCTCCGCCCACACACACACACACTGACGCACACTGACACACAGTCCTTGGCTATGTACTGAACGCGCATAAAAAATGACTACCCTCAATTGTCGCCACTGGCTGGCACAGTCCAACAAGAGTTGTTGTAGGGGTCGCGCTCGTCGTTTAACGACAACGTTCTCGCTCTGCTCGCTGCTGTCCTGCACCACCTACTCCACAGTTACTCCTATTCCTACACTGCTTGCTTTTGGCTTGCATTCCAATTGCCATGCTCTCGCTCCCACTCGTGCATAAGCACATATATATGTATATACACAGACGCACACACAGTCGCACTCACACATACACAAGTGTCGCGCGTCGTTTGTCGCTTGTCGCTGCTGCTGCTGCTGCTGCTGCTGCTGCTGTTGTCGTTGCCGTCGCCTTTTGCCTCTTCTGCTTCGTCATTTTGTGCGTCCTCTGGATTGGTTTCGGCGTTTCAATTGCGTTCGTTTTTTATTCTACCTCCCCCTCTCATTCTGCTGGCGTGTAAGTGTCTGTGTCTGCTGTGTGTGTGTGTGTGTTTGTTCTCGATTCGATTGGATTACATAGTCGTTGTCGTTGTCGTTGTCGTCGTTTCTGCTGTCGCCTGCCTCGAGTTACTCCGTGTGGCTGCGTACAATTTTTTTTTTGTTTTTTTTTTTTGCTGTCCCTCAGCATCTGCAGCGCCAACGACGCCGCCCGCCCCCATGCCATGTCGCACGACGACGACATTTCGTTTTTTGAGATTCGCTTTTTGCGTATATCGTGCATGTGTGCGTGTATGTGTGTGTGTGCGTGTGTGTGTATGCGTAGCTCGCTCTGTGCATGTGTGTGTGTTCTTTAATATTGTCGTCGAGTGTCATTGGTCGAAGGCAAACGTGCGCAGCGCTGCCAGCGTCGACGTCGTCGCATATTGTCGCAAAACCTTCGTCTCAGCACGTTTTTTTTTTCCTGACTTTTTTTTTTTCTGTTGTGTGTTGTTGTTTTTATTGGCTTTTAGCTTGCTGCTGCTGCTGTTGCGGCTTTTTATTAGAATCCGTGTGGAGAGGGGAGTTGCGGCTAGAAATGGGCTGCCTGGTGGCCGAGCGAGTTTTAGGGCTAGGCGGCGCAGCATGAGAGGGGGCGTGTGCACCCAAGTAGCCGAATGAGTTTTTGATTGTGTGTGTCGTCGACGACGCCGTCGTCGTTGTTGTCGGGTGCGGGTGTGTGTTTGTTGTTTGTGTCGTTGTCGTTGTCGTTGTCCTCTCTCTCCCAGTGTGTGTGTGTGTGTGTGTGTGTGCGTGAGAGCGAGCGAGAGCGCATTAGCTGCATATACAGATGTGCATGCACGTGTAAATGTGTGTGTGTGTGTGCGTCTGAGAGCGAGTGCAAAGTGCACAAAAGTTTTGCCAAGCAAAAATGGCGACAACAGCAGCGACAACAACACGACAACGTGCAATAGCAGCAGCCGCAGCCGCAGCCGCAGCAGAAGCAGACGTCGCCGTCGCCGTTGCCGTTGCCTCCGCAACAAATTTTGTGTCGTGCGATTTTATAACCGTTTTCAAAAGCGGCGGCGTTGCTGCTTCTGCCTGTCGCACAAAACGGACGCGGACGGACAACAACAACAATAGCAACACGCAACGTGCAACAAAAGCGACAGCAACAAAGCGAATAATAACAATAATAATAATAATATTAACACTAATGAGAATATCAATAAAAATATTATAGAAAAAAACACGCTGCAAAAAAACTGCATCAAATAAATGAGGCAAACATTTACTTTAATCCAAATATGCAGCAAACAAAGCGTTAAAGTGTGTGTGTGTGTGTGTGTGTGTGTGTGTGTGTGTGTGTGTGTGTGTGTGTGAGTGTGAGTGTGCGTGTGTGTGGGTGCTAAACAGTTGCTTTTTTAGGCAGCACTTGGCCAGCAAAGAACAAAACATTGAACTCGTTTTTGGCGCTCCGTTTTCTAACACGCATCTAATAAACGCAACAACAACAACAATTTTACAGTTAACCCACAACAACAACAACAACAACAACAACGACAACAAGAAAGCGCACAAAACAAGCACATTATCATAAACACAAACATAAACATAATTATAATTATGATGTGATCAGAATTAACAGCAGCTCCGGCAAGAGGTGCAAAGATGTGAAAAGCTAACAACAAAAATAAAAAAAGGGAAAATCAAAAAAAAAATGTAATAAAAAGGAAATCAAGCAACGAATAGAAGTAAATATAAAAAAACAAAGGAAAATGCTCAACATTGCAATAACAGATAAGAAAGGGCAATACAAATACAACAACAACAACAACAACAACTACACACAGGCATATGCCCATGTATGTGCGTGTGCGTGCATGTGTGTGTATGTGTGAGCATCTACGCGCAGTAACTAATCGAGTTTAACACCGAAGCACATCAGCAAATTGATGAAACAACGAAAACAACTCTAACAACAACTTTGCAAAAACAACAACAACAACAACAACGTCAAATTCACCAACAACAATACCAATTACAAGCACCTATTCTAAGCGTCCTACAATAACTTCAAACAAAAGAAAACAAAGCATAAAACAAAGAACTAAACACAAGCACAGGGAGTTTACATGCAAAACAACCTCAAACTCAGGTGGGTTTCAGCTTCATTCTTTTTATCTTTCGAGAGAGCATTCGGCATAAGTTGTACCTTATCCAAGTAGTCCCACGTGTGGTATACGTAATGCGAGCATTGGAATACTCCTCTCTGAATGTATACATGTATATATATATATATACAATAATATTATATTATATACAATATATAATATATAATATATATATACATATATCTTTTAACAATTTATAAGGTTTTTATTTTATTAAAACAAAATTGTTTTCATTTTTAATTTTAACAAATTAAAGCCGAGCTAATACAATATTATATATAATATATATATAATATTATATATATATGTTATAATATACATATTATAATAAGAGAAGAAATAAAAAAAGATATATATAATTAATAATAAACCATAAACAATAAAAGCTAGCTATCTTTAATATAATTTTTTTTTTTAATAATTCAAATTTGACAGATAGTTGGCTCTTTAAGGCGATTAGACATTTTGGGCATATTTTTAGAATTTTAACCAGTTTCCAAGATAGAAATAGATATGAAATACTTATATGGGAATATCGAGTATATATTTCACATATTCAAATAGAGGCAATAGTTCTGATTATATAATGCTTATAAAAACAGAATTCTTGACTCTAGTCTAGATGTGCCAAAACTTGTCCTCTAACTCCTCTAACTAACTTATAGTATATGTTATGCACATTATTAGAGACATTAAGCACATATTCAAGGAAAAGAAATTCAATAAACCTCATCTATTATATTTATATCTTTGATATGATATTGCAATCAATTAATGTATATGATATGATAGTTTTCCGAAATAGTTTTTTATGCGTTCATTTGTATATATATATATAGTATAGTATATATATATATATATATATATATATATAGTGTATACATATACACTGCAATTCGCATTTGAAAACTTTTGAGTTCTGCAGATCAAGAGCAAATTTGAATATCAGACCCTTTTCTTCATAGCATATCAGCTTAAGTTTGTTAAGGCATGAATAAAGCCTTGGTTTAAGCAGAAAATACCTTTTGCAGCGATTAACTTCTTAAGGGAGCTAGATAATAATATATATGCCAATATGCTTTCTAAGCCATCCAACACAACTTATAATACTATATATTCTTTTTTTCCCAACTTTTACATTGAAAATTTAGTTGAATTTACTCGCAAGCTTGTCAAATTTCAAATATTTTCTAATTGCAATTGGAAATTTCTGAGACATTTGTAATATAAGTTTAGGCATATTCCAGAGCATATGAAAGAACTTATTGATGCCAATATTATTATAGAAATACTAAACATGCGTAGAATGTAACTTTAATAAGCTGCAGTTAATTCCATTGTAAAATATCAATGTTTTGATGAACTTAGTAGGAATTATAAGAAAAGGAGCTATGAAGTATTTAATAAATATATAAAATATTTTATAAAATAGAAAAGGTCGCCAATAAAAAGTTATTTCATTTCCCTGTATATGAAGAAGATAGGAATTTTGAAAACTTTGTACACAAATCTATAAAAATGTACTCAAAATTAGATCAAGGTGGGTACTTTCAGCCTAAGAAAGTAAAGTAAAGTTAAAAGCATGTTCCAAATGTTGAGCTTCATCCAATTAAAGTAGTTAATTTCTCGTTATAAGTACTTTCTGCTTAAAGCAAGACTTTCTATTATTTATTTTTGTTTATACTTGTTTTAAGAATGTGCCTCAACAAAAGTTAGCTGAAAGTCTATGAAGAAAAAAAAATTTTAAGGCTTTTTTTTTATAAGCTTAGTCAACAGAAACCTTAAACAAAAATTTTAGAAAAAGTTGCATTGAATGGAATTAAATTTGAACTTTATAGACCATTGTTAACAAAATGTCATACAGTCTGTACCCCAGCCCGTCGTCAGCTTGGCTGTGTGCGTGTGTGCGTGCGTGTCTATGTGTGTGTGTGTGTGTGTGTGTGTGTGTGTGTGTGTGTGTGTGGGATGCCGAGAATTCCGACATTTGCCAGTTGTCTTAATATTTACATTTACATATTTGCCTTTGTCAAATCGCAGAGCTCTAAATAAGCACCACAGAGAGAGAGAGAGAGAGAGAGAGAGAGAGAGAGAGCGAGAGAGGGAGGGAGAAAGAGAGAGTGAGAGAAAGGCACTAGAGTGGTGCCATGGAGAGATGGAGGAAGGGAGCTGCCAGAGGCACGCCTCGGCCACAGCGTCTATAGCAATAACTATATAGCCATATAATCGCCTGTTCGTGAGCTGTAAACACAGGCATTGTAAATTTACACCGTGCTTATAATTAGCAATAGAACGGCAGTTGACTTTTTTCCAGCGCTATTCTGCTCCCAGTTGTTGTCAGTTAAGCAAATATATATGCATATACATATACATATACATATATATATATAGATATACATATATATGTGCATACATCCGACTCTATATAGACAGATTCAGGCGGCTTCACAGCCTCGGCGGCAGGGTTTGCGGCAACTTGTGGTGCTAAAAAATATTACAGACATTGCTGCCAGAGTATAAGCATCTACCTCTCACTCCCTCGCCTCCCTCCCTCTCTGTCGGCAATTGGCAGCTGATTTGCCTATGGTTGATTGCCAGCAATAATTGTCGCTCAGGCGTTGACGGTTGACGCCAACTTCAGGGCCCACCAATGCATCAGTGCACCTGCAGCTGCAGCTAACCAGAGCCAGCAACAAGCCAGCAACAACAACAGCAACAGCAACAACAGCAGCAACAACAACAATAACACTAACAACAACAATTGAGTTGGTTTTGCCCCACCGCAGAGTTGCCCACAAAGATAAATATTGACAAATTGCTGATAAATCATTTATTATAGAGTGTCGCCATCTAGCGGCACAAATAGCAAACACGTTTGCCAGGCTCAGGGAATATATAACCCCTTATATATATATATAGACATGCATATATCTGGCAGAAACCAGATATCGTTGCTTCACTCTTTTATAGAACTCAAGTTTAAGCTTCACGAAAATCGTATTTTCATTTTTAATTTTATAAATTTATGTCGAAATAATTAAAAAATAAATGCATCTCCAAAAAGTCTGAAATAAGCTATTATTTCTAATACGATCCCATGTATTTCAAAAACAATTTCGCGACTTTTCACATTTGTGTAAAGTAATATTTTTAACCATTTCGGCAAAGTAATATTTTTAACCATTAATAAAACATCCTGAGACTCATATTTTTGAGTCTCTTAGGTAATCAATTGCAAATATCTTCCCATCAGTTCTCTATAATTCTTAAAGTTTTTAATATTCATAGGATACCTATAAGCAATGTTCTTTAATTATTCTATATATTTTTCGTCATTGAAAGAACTATTATAATATAATATAAGATATATATCATATAGAGTTTCTCATCAGTTCCCAAGGTTTGCCCTACTCATAGGTATCATAGGTGTAATATCTCCCTAGTTCCCCATAGTTTTCCATATTTATCGTATCGTCAAAAATGCAAAAGCATCATTATTCTCATCTAAGAGTTTCTCATCAATTACCTATAGATTTCGTTACTTAATCATAAAGCTTTATTTTATATAGTTTACCATCAGCTCTCCATAAGTTTCGATACTGATAAGTATTAGAAAGAATCCTAAAGATTCTCATCAGTTCTCCATAGTTCTTAATTCTTCATACTCATAATTATTCCCAAGCTTTATCAATTTCATAAAGTGTTTCACTAATTCTCCTTATATTTACATATTCATAAGGATCCCATCAAGCTTTATCTATATAATATAGTTTCCTATCAGTTCTCCACATTCATAATTCGCATAATTAATCCCCAAGCTCCATCATTTCCATATAGTCTCGCATCAGTTCTGTATAGTTCTTGAAATTTATACTGTTATTTATTGGGTGCTGTTCCCCTTGGTTCCTTGGCACTCATAAGTTAGGAGATGGATTTCCATCTTCGGCTAACTGAGTGCGGCTCTTGTGCCGGTTATTAATTAGCATATTTCGTCATGAATTAGCAGGCTAAAGCCCAGTACGAGCCCGAGTTATAATGAGGTGGAAAGCTATTCCGATGCAGGTTTAAGTCGGAGCAGGGGAGAGTGCAGATCGTGCTCGGGTGTGTGTGTGTGTGCGCCTGTGTGTGTAAGTGATACCCGTCGTACTCGTACCCCTTTGCTGAAGTCCTCGCCCTCGCGGCAGGACAATAATCATTTTGCACGCTCTGACCAAGTCGAGTTGAGTGTGGAGTGGAGTGGAGTTCAGTTGAGTTGAGTCCCTTGCCCGGCGGTGGCACAACATGAAATTGCATCCAAAATACAAGAGCAACAACAATATTACACACATGTGCAGCAGCTATGCCCCTCCTCTCTATTGGGTCAGGGCCGCGGGGGGACTGCGGCACAATGGACATTCACATGCCGACATGTCGTCGTCGTCATCGTCGTTGTTGTTGTTGTTTGTTGTTGTTGGTGTTGTTGTTGGTGTTGCTGCTGTTGCTGTTGCTGCCCAGCGCCAGCTCTCATAATCCGCTGCCGTTGCACTCGCCCGCGGCCCGCCCGCTGGCACCACGCACCCGCGCGCTGGCAAATAATTGCAGTGTCGCCACCGCTGCAGTCGCCGCCGCTGCACAGTGGTATCAAATATCAAATGTCAGGCAAAAAACCGTCACTGCCTGCAGCTCATTCATGTGCGTACCCTGTAAAACAATCATTATTTCGATCCAAGAAATTGGCTCCATGTATTGCATGCCTTTAAAAGATACTACTTCGAGTTAGAAAAAACAAATCCGATTACTGTTTCCCCCGTTTCAAAGACTCACGAATTTGATGTGGAAATAAGTGAATAATTGTGGAATAGAAAAGTTTTGATTAGACATAATTTTAAAGACAGCGAAGTTGATGTGCGAAAAGCTTGTGGAATATAAGTGCAACAAGCACTACCGAATTCACAAAGTGAAGTATTCACTAGTTTTGTTGCGTTGTTTCGACATATTTATAGAGTTG